GTCAGCTTGCACTGTAAGTGTAAAGGGTCTTGTTATTCAGTTTCTTTTGGCAGTTCATGGTCGAGTATAGCCTGTGGCCCCTGAGAAGCCCTTGTCACTCTGAGTACCCAGGGCATGACCCCACTGGCCCAGTTTACAAACCAATGTTGCACATGGGGAAAGGCATTCCTTATTACAGCACCAAACCAGCAGGTAAACAGGCCCCTTACCAATACTGACAGATCAGGCCTGCATGTGTACAGAGTAGGTTGCTCCGGAAAAGACAACATGGCCTCTATTCACCATCATGCTGACAGCAGGTGAAAAATATCACAGCAGAGCCCCTGAAAAGGGGTTTAAATGAGTGGCTGGATGCAACTAGCAAATGATAAAGGGTAAAGGAAATAATCAAAGACTAAAGATAGTGATGACCATTTTAGTGTAAGTTCTATTAATCACATGGAAAATAATTGAAAATCATGATTTTTGTCATACCATGTACAGTACATACACTAACCCACACACACTTACTCAAAGCTGTCGACACAGGCATGAAGACCACACTGAGGCTTCACTTTTTTAACCCTCCTCTTCCTCTGTAGTTAGAAAACCAGAAGATCAAAAGCATCATGACTTCAAAGTAGGAGGAGCAAGCTATCGGCAAGCCAGGGGATTGAGCATCTGTCATAATGACTGCCGCATTTTGTAGACTCGTCTTCGGCTTGGGGTTCAACATGGGTCCGTGAGGAGAAGGGCATCAGCAGTTCTGCGGTTCTGTCTCTTGTGTTCTTGTGGTTTCTTTTGGTCTGAGTTTGCAAAGTTTTTGTGACATGCAGAGGAACTTCAAGACTTTGATGGCCAAAAGCAAGATGGCCATTATTTTTTTTCACTTTTCACTGATTTTTGAAGCGGCACACATGTCCTGTAAAAAAGTTCCACCAGAGCAGCAAGTAAAAAAAATCATCAATCATCGCATTTTTAATGTTTCAGTTTTGGGATTTCAGACTTGCATATGAATAAACTGAATTTTTCTGCTGTTAAAATAACAACATTTTGTTTAATACAGCATAACTTTGAAAAAGGTTTAGCAAGGAAATGTTAGAAAGCATCTGACACTTTTAGAACACCAACCTGGACCTGTAATGAGCAACTTGGGGTGGTGTAGTCTAGTGTTTAATGATCTCGGCTGGCAAAAGAAAAGGTGTATTTTCAAACCTCAGAAGGGTTGATCCATGAACCATCACAACACAATTGTGCCCTTGAAAGACACTTGACCCATTTAAGCCTGTTGGTAACTACTGTATAGCTGCCAAAGTCTACCATTCTTTTTCCATCTGTATTTTGTACAGAATAAAGCAACCAAAATCATTAAAGTGCAGCTTTACAAAGATTCATACGGTCATTTTTAGGTGTTTATTCTAAAATGCATCCAGCAACTTAAAGGGATTGTTAACCCAAAAAAGAAAACTTTTTCATTGTTTACTCACCCTTACATTGTACCAAACCTGTATGACTTTCTTTTAAAAAATGTCTTTTGGAATTCAGTGGGGTTTGTTTTAGACAAGAACAGTTCAACCATTCTTCAAAATATCTTTTTTTGGTGTTCCACGGAAAGTCATGCAGGTTTGGGTTCACCATTTTGGGTGAACTATCAATCTTGATTGCAAAATGCACATCGGTCACTAAAGTTGCTATATATTATATCATCTTGACATGAAAAATGCACTTAAAATCGCAAATGACCTTATAGGCTTTGATGTAAGTGTATAACGATGCACCCTGATCTGGTTGAAAATCGATAAAAATATGTGACAATTCAAGTAGGTTGAGATGTTAAATGAATCGTGATACATTTGGCAGTGGGGGTTTATATGACTGTATCTCTGAGGAGAACTGACTGTCTTCAGAAAAGCTTAGATGTTTTTTTTTTTCAACTTGCCTCTGTATAATGCATATTTCAATTTCACAAAGAATAATAAAAGGACACCTTTTCATTTATAATTTGACTTAAATCTAATTTTGTTAAAACAACTCATGAGGAAATCGTACTGTGAAATCAGTATTGGGAATCGTATTGCATCACGAGTTGAGTGAATCGGTAAATCCCTAAAGCTTTGTTCAGACAGGCAGCAAAGATAAGATTTTTTAGATGTACTGGACTCGTATCCATTTAGTGTTTTGTTGTTTGAACAGCATAAAAAAAAACTGATGGCTGCCAATCCAAACATCCACATGTGGTTTGAGATTAGATTAAAATCAGATTTTTTGGATTTTGTGAGATCAGATTTCAGGAAGTTTTGCTGAATCAGGATGTGACACATTTGTACATTTTATTGTCTGTGTCTGAATAAACTCCTTTCTGCTTACTCTATGACACATATGCATGTAGTGAATGTGCATGACTGAAAGAATCTTTTAGACAGTAATTTTAGACAGTTAAGTTCAACGATGTGTCAAGTTTTCCATCCTCTCTTTCCACACTGACTGGTAACAACTAGCAAAGTCTTAAATGTCCTGAGATGACAATTCAGTGGACATTGACTACAGTTTGAACAAACCTAACAGATTTCATCACCACCAAAATGACAGCATCCTAAAGATTGGATTTTAAAACCAATTGTGATTTATGCACAGTGTGAAATAAGTTTAGTGTGTTATTTTTTAATTAAAACATCAGGTGAATAAAAAGAGTAATGATATTTCCGTCCATCTCTTTGTTTACTGTGCTAAAACTGAAACAGATATGCACTTTGCAGCCATATTCACAGTCATTTACCACTATTTGTCAACAACTGCATCAGACATGTTGTGTCACAGGACTCAAGGGAGCATTGCAATTCATGTTGTTTAAAAGAAAGTCTAAGTCCATCTCGTTCCAGCTCCTCCTAATAGACTCTCCTGACTCGCTCTCTGTGTTTTCGGATCCAGGCGAATTATTTTGCTTTCATCAGGAGAGCTGATCTGTTGGCATGGAAATCAAAATGCAAATGGCTGTGAAAGGAGGATGCACTCGATAGAAATTCAAATTGCACAACCAGCCGCTTGTAATCATGAGCGAATTCACAGCGCAGTGTTGACATTATTAAATTTTGAGACAGATTAAGGCATTATGGGAATATTTGTATTTGTGTAATCCAGCAAATCAGCATATTGCTTCACTTTTGCCAACATGTTCATAAATTCCATTAGAGGAGGTTTAAGTGTGATCTCAACATCTGAGAATGAGTGTGATGTTTGTGTGTGGGTTCAGCACTAAACCTATGTGAGTTGTTAAGAAACATGATGCCCAGTGATCGCTCCTCTGCTTATATAAACTCGCAGCTGAAAACATCCACTGCAACGCTGTGTGCTTTCGACTGGTAGCTGGCTTTATTATCTACAGCTAATGGGTTTGTCTGCTGTTCTCCAAAACGAACCGCTTCACAGGTCAAATTAAAGGTCTCCAGGCTTTTTTTAAGGGTAAACTTTAAGGTCGCTTCATTTTGTTCCACTTGTGTTCAGTTTTAGCCGTATTGGCTGGTAGGTCAGCAGTGGAGCGGCTTTGCTTGATTTTAGGTCTTTTCTCTGTACAGTAGTTCATGTTGCATGTTGACTCCATCTGTTGGGAAAGAGTGAGGGGGTGGAGAAAGATAGATGTATAGGAATCACAATCTTTCTTTTTATTTGACCTTTGACCCCTGTGATCAGTGCATTCCCACGTTCCTCCATCACACAGCTCTGTGAGTGACGGTGTCACTCAACGGGTCAGTTTTATATGGGAAATTGTTTGGATAGAGTGTTGGTATTATCTTCAATCCCCAAACGCTGTTAGTTTATGACAGCTCAAAGGCATAGATTATATTCTCCAGAAAGCTGTCAGAGCAAATGAGAAACCAATAAGCTATAAGTCTGCAAAATTCAACAGAAAGCTCCACAGATTTCTGCTGAATTTAAATGGCTTCATTAGCCCTATTTGAATGGGATTCGTTTTTCAAACAATGCTTGAGTTAAAATTATTAAAAGTATGTCTGTGATTTCACATACTGATCCAGAGAGGATTGGGATCTTTGTCGTTTCTTTTCTTTTTTTAAAGGAATATTCTTGGTTTAATACAACTTAAACTCACAAATAAACATCATAATAAATAAAAAGAAAATATTATTGACTTGCCATGCTTTAAAAGAATCAAGGTTACAGGCACTTACAATGGAAGTGAAAGGGAGATATTTAAAAGCAGAAATCTGAAGCTTATAAAAAAAAAAAAAAGAAGCAATTCTTCTGTTAAAATGTGTGTATTATTTGAGCTGTAAAGCGGTTTAAATAATTTTTTAGGTTTTAGGTTTTATGGAATTGTATTTTCATGGCGACAACATTGTTTAAATTATTTGCAGATTGGCCTCTCTCACAAGTGTCTCATGGTATTTATGGTATTTATTTATTTATTAAGGAATCAACATTATAACACAAATGCTGTCCAATGAGCTTTACTTGTGCCAAATCTACAGTATAGTCTATATTCTGATTGGCCACATGCTCTGAATGCATTACAAAACCCACTGAAGTAGTGTTCTCTTATGCGGTTCTTCTGCTACAGGTAACAACTCTTGCAGTAATTTAGTACGTACAGGATCTAACAGGCATGTTGTTGGTTTAGATGCAGTGATAGGTTTATTTAGCTCTTCCTGTCCTATAGTTGTAAAGCACTGCAGTTTAT